GGGTTCAATGCCTGGACCAGCCAGCTGCACCCCCCCCCCAATTTATTGAGTGACTGCTATGCACCAAGCACTGTTCTAGATAGTGAGCAAAACACTCAAAAATCCTTGCCCTTATGGAAGTTATTTTCTGGTTAGCCCAGCACTACTGTCCATAGCTCTGCTGGAAAGATCATCTATGCTATCGCCTGGTGGATTGGTCCATGAGATGGAGCTCCCAAAGACTAACACCAAAACAGCCCCCACTGGGCCCTTCCCAGCCGCAATGCCACTCAAATATACTACTATCTTTTACTCCCAAGGCCTTTGCACTGCTGTCCCTTGGCCCTGAACACTCTTCTTTTTTTCTTCTTCTGGTTCATTTGTCTTCCTCCTTTGGGTCTTAGCTTGGTCAGACTTCCTCCAAAAGGCCTCCTCTAAACCCCAGTGTAAAGTCAAGAGCCCTTCTCTATGCTCCTAGGGAAATCCTGTGATAATCCCTATGACAGCAATGACCACACTATATTACAATTGTCTATTTACTATCCCATTTCCCTTTGAGAACAGAAGTTCCTGAAAAGCTAGACCTATGTCTCTTCATCACTGTACCTCCAGTGTTCAAAACATGTCTGCTGAATGAATGAACAAATCAATGTAGGACAAGGAAGGGAAGGCTGGGCAGGGCGTGGCTAGATGCCAAGTGTCCTTCACCCCTCTGACCTTCTGTCCTACCCACCTGCCTCATGAGCTCAGGGTTGTTGAGCATGTGGCTGATCTCAGGGTTCCGCTCCATCAGTTGCTGCATCTGGGGGTTGGCCATGATCATGTGGCGCATCAGGTCAGGGTTAGACATCATATCTTGGACCAGGGGGTTCTCCATGATCTGTGACAGCATCTCAGGATTGGACATCAGCTGTCTCTGCATTTGCTGCTGTAGCTCCATGAAGTTGGCAGAGCCCAGGCCCAGGCTGCCCAGCCCTAGGATACCCCCAAAGCCAGCTGGGGGGAGGAAGGAGGGTCACAATCTGCCACAAGAGCCTTTCCCCCCATCTCACCAGAGCCACTAAATTCAAGTCTCCAGGATGGGCCCTAACTACTTCTCATATCTCCCTCTTCCATTCACCACTACAGCTCCAGCCCTGAACCATTGCTGGCAAAGAGATGTAAGCCACTAGACTGAGACCTCTTTGACGGTGGAGGCTGAGCCAAGCAGAGAACTGAGCAGAGAGAAGGTAACCAGCGATAGCCTGTTGAATGAGTAAATAAATACTCCTCACTGGCTATGTTGGATCCATCTTTTCCCCAGACTCACAGAGTCTTCCAATCTCTGCACCCAGGGTTCCCCGCATCCTCAGCCCCATTTCTCCCCTCCTTTGGGAAAGCCCCCACAGACTTGTTACTCCCCAGCTTGGCTCAAGTACCAATATCTGAAACTCCATCCAGGAGTTCCCTATCCCCATCAGACCAGGAACTGGGACCATTTTTCTTTCTCCTCTTGGCTCTCCTGCACTCCCCAGCCCAAAGCAAGATTGTGCTCTCCTCCCTAAGGGCTTACAAAGTATAGATGCAGTAGCACTGGGGGGTCCTTCCCCAACCCCTGGGGAGGGACCCCCCCCACTGCTCCTCCGGCTTCCACTGCCAGCATCCGAAGTGGCACTGCCAGAGGTGGAGGGCTGGGCAGGGGTGGCGGGTGAAGCAGGCGTGGTAGAGGGTGCTGAGGCAGGGTCAGGAGTAGAGGGGGAAGAAGCAGTGGCAGCAGCTGGATCTTGAGCCCTGAAGACAGAGAAAGGAGAATCCTAGTTGGAGTGAGCACAGAATTGGGAAGGTACCACAACAATCTCTGCCCTTGCTCAGCAGCTACTGCCCTAACCTAAGCCACCTCCTGAGCAACCCTGCAGGGGGGATATTGCTGGAGAGTGGTCAGTAAACCAGGGAGAGGAAGGAAGGAGCTAGTATCATCTGTCTTCAGGGCATACTGGAAGTGGTAAGACAGGTTCCTTTCCTCTGGAGGTGAGATAATATCCATCCAGGAGCCACCTGCTTGGGCCTCAGCATAGGCCCTCCTAAGTGTAGTTGAACAAGGGTTGAGAAAGTATTGGATGGAAAGGCCCAATAAGAAGATGGGTCTGCTCTTCTCCTGAACTTACTTCTGAGGGGTCTTGATAACCAGATGGACAGTGAGCCCGTCCTTGATCCCATGCTGGTTCAGGGTGTCCCCATCCTTGAGGATCTTGCCTGCGAAGATCAGGACCAGCTGATCCTGCTGAGCCTTAAACCTCCGGGAGATTTCCTCTTTGAACTGTGATCAAGAGGCAGAAGTCACTGAGGAGGCTGCCTGGGCTCCACTCACCAAGGACCTTGCTTCTTCTTCAGGAGCCTCTGCATTCTCTTACTGCCACATCTAGGCCTGGGAAGTCATTTCTGCAGTCTCCACTCCATCCCTCCAGCTGCAATAAGCAGCTCCTTTCTCAATCAAGGAGATGGACGACTGAGCTCTTCTCTCAGCTCCATCTCAGAGTCTCCCACCTTAGAAAGCCCTTGCTGCTATCTGCCCTCCCAGCTTCCCTATGAGGGTACTGACTGGGCAGCCCTCCCCATCCCAACTCATTCAACAGCCTTGGACCCAGGCCCTGTCTCCTTTCAGCCTTCTTTTCTCAGACCCCAATTCTCTCTCCCTTCTTTATTCCCATTGTTCTTGTAACAACTACAACAAATAGATCCCAATTACTGAACAATATACAAGAGTTAACAGTCTCATACATTAAATATTATCTCCATTTAAAGATGAGAAAGCTGAGGATCAGGTTAGGTAATTTGCCCTGGGCAGCCTGGAACTCAGATCTTGACACCAAAGTCCAGGGTCTTAACCAGACACACTGCCTCTCGATTAGAGCTGTTTTCAAATTCAGCTTTGCAGGTAACGGTATTTAAGTTCTGGAATTTAGTCATTTTTATATGCTTGGGGAGGAAGCAGTGATGGCACCAAGGGCTGGCTTGGGGAGAGTTAGACTCCCAAAATTCTATCAGTCCCTCCAAAACAAAACAAAAATAGGCTGTCCAGTTAGCTCAGATAGTTAGAGGGCGGTGTTGATAACACCAAGGTAAAGGGTTCAGATCGCCATACCAGCAAGCCTCCCCCAAACCAAAACAAATATACATAAACACTCTAAGTAAAAACAGCGCACTAGCTAAGCAAGGGCAGCTTCCAGATCTCTCTTCCAACCAGATGGCCTATCTTAAGCCCCGCCTATGAGGAATTCTGGAACGGGGGCGGGGCGGGGGGCCTCCGAACACAGGCAACAGTCCCTCATTCACTCATTCAACAAAATTTTATTGAGCACCTACTGCACACTATAAACCTCAGAAGAACTGAGAACCAAATGTAACCACTTCGATTTGAAAGAGCAGGAAAGATCTAGGCAGAGGGAAATCTTCCCCCGACTGCCCCAGCGTTCAGAAAACACTGGGCATTCTCTGAGGCACACAGGAGGCTCGCGGCGCTCTCCACCTGCCCTCGGCCCGTTCTCCTGTTTCAGCACCGTGACTGGGCTCCCACCCTGCTTCGGCGCCTCGAACCCCGACCAGTACCGGGGCGCGCACGCCCCTCAAACCCAGGGTCCTTCGCCCTTCCCCGTGCAAGGTGTTTCCTCCCCACTCTCCACCACGCCCCCAGCCCTGGCCACACGCAAAACCCGCCCCACCCAACACGCGCCACGCTCCCCCAGATCTGCCCTCGCAGGGCGCCCCCTACCCGCATCTCCTTCCCTCCAGTTCCTCCGAGTCCCAGCTGCCCCCCGCCCTCCTCACCGGGGCCCTGCCGGACGCCAGACCGTCACTGAGGCCTCCGCACCTCTTCGAAGACCCCTCCTCCGCGATCACCCCCGTCCCCCCGCCAGCCGTACTACCTCCTTGACCGAGGCTCGATCGCAGATCACAATTTCCTCCTTGTCCTTGGGGGTCTTGACGGTGACCCGAATGGGGGGCCTCGTCTCGGCCCCGCTTGGCTCCGCCATGCCCCCGCCGCCACCCGGCCGCCCGCCAGCCCGCCCGGCTCGGCTCCTCCTCTTCCCCGCCCGCCCGTTCTGCCGGCCCGGCTCGGCTCCGGCGCCTCCAACACTCCCCTCTCCCCTCCCTTCCTCTCCCCTCTCCTCCCCAAGGCTTCACCGCCCCCTCCGGACCTGTCGCAGCCACAGCGCCCCGGGCGGACTGGGGGGGCCACTGCAGCGGGGTCCGCCCAAGGCCGAGCCCCGAGTCCCGCAGCCTGGACAAGGCCTGGCCGGGCTGTGGCCCCTGGAGGGGCAATGGGCGGGGAAGGGACTTGACCTTCATCGCGGGGGTGGGAGGAGAGCTCCCAGCTACAGACTTCGGCCCAACTTAGCCGTCCAGAGCCGCGCCGTGCCGCCGTCTCCTGCCCGAAGCTGCCCCCGCCCCTTTTGCGGGTAACTCCCGCTCCGGGACAAAGGACCTCTGTGTCGCCGCTTTATCTCTGTTATAACTTGGTCTTTTCTTGGGAGGCCCAAGACCCTTCCAGGCCTGGGCCCTCTCCCGACTTGGAGGTTGAATTTTCCCACCGCCTAACGTCCACTTAAAATCTTATCTCTAGGATTGACCCTATCTCCCCCGAGGATCGTGGCCTGAATGATATATTAATTACGGTTCCAGAGACCTGAATTTTGCCTTCGGGGCTTTCTGAGGCTTGGTGTCCTCAAGATAATAGTACCCCTCGCCTCATCTCACAGACTTCTGCATAACGTAGAAAACTGTTTTGAAAAGTAACCGAAGGTGTGCCTGACAGATACGAGGATTTTATTATTGTTGAATCGTGGATTGCCAAGCGGACGTGATGAGTTCTCTCTCCCCGAAGGGGTTAAACATCCTTCCAGTATACTCCACTGTCCTTTCACTCCCGCTCTTTCACCGCATCACCGCGTGGTCTGACTGAAAAGGCGAACTATAGTTCCCAAGGTGCCTCGCGAGGTCACAAGAAACTACAATTCCCAGTGCCCTCCGCGGTCCGCGGTGGGGCGGGATCGAGTCAGACCCACAATCGCCGGGCCAGGAAACTACAATTCCCAGGTCGTTCCGGAGAAGGGCCCCTGTACTACGGGAAGTGGCAGGCAGAGGCTAGCAGGAGGCAACTCGGAGGATCTGGGTGCAAAAAGCCTAGAATTAGGAGCTGCAGGCATGCTGCGTCCCAAGGCTTTGACCCAGGTGCTAAGCCAAGCCAACACTGGAGGTGTCCAGAGTACCCTGTGAGTGCGGACCGACGAGCCTAGGGGCGAGCGCTGCAGTGGGGTGGTGCGCGGCTCCCTGAGGGATGGGTAGGGAAGGATCGCCAGGAAGGGAGGAAGCGGCAGAGGGGACAGCAGCTGGGGGAACCCGCCAGGAAGGCTTCTCTCGTAAAGGGAAGCCGGCGTGCTGGGTACTCAGGGCACTTTCCAGGACACACTCAGCCCAGACCCTTGCTACCTATAAGCGCCAGTGGCGGCAGCTGGGATGGGAACCCAGGTGTTTTACTACCCGCCCTGAGCAGGTTGATATCCCTCCCCGCCCCTGGCCAGGCTGCTGAATAACGAGGGATCGCTGCTGGCCTACTCGGGTTACGGGGACACGGACGCCCGGGTGACCGCGGCCATCGCCAGTAACATCTGGGCCGCCTACGACCGGAACGGGAACCAAGCGTTTAATGAAGACAATCTCAAATTCATCCTCATGGACTGCATGGTATGGAGAGGGGACAAGATTTCCTCTGTCCCCCAAGGGGATCCCAAGGGGACGATCTGTACCCCAATCCTGGATGGTTGGAGGGGCAGGGACAGGATCTCCAGAAGATTACTAAGAATTGGTCTGCAGCAGCATTGGTAATAGGCAGGATCCTATGCGTCAAGTGGTGGTGAGGAAGGAGCCCTGAACCTGAGGTCTGACTTGGGTTCTCAGCCATCCACTTATCAGTTGTGGAACCTTGGGTAAGTCACAACCTCTCTGAGCTTCCTTCGTTCATCTCCAAAGAGGAAACAATAATTTCCCTCTTCCTGTCCCCAACAGGGTTGTTGCAGAAATCAAATGAAAGAATGTATGTAAACTGCAGAGTGATAATGCAAATATAAAGTGTTATCACAGCTTCACAGACTCACAGAACCACGGCAGAGTCTCCAGACCCTAGTCCAATCCCTTCAGTTTACAAAGAAAGGAAATGAAGTTCAGAGAAGGGAAGTAGCCATTAGACTGTGAACTTCTTGGGAACAGAGACTGTCTCACTCACCTTTGTATCTGTTCAATCAACAAGTATTTAGATCCCTGCAGTGTTCTTAGGATTATGGAAAAAGTAGCAAACAGGACAGACAAAACCCCAGGCCTAATGAAGCTTAGTCTTGCATGTTTTAAAACACATGAAATAGGGGGAGGGAGGATTCAGTAAAGGGACACAAAAATCAATCACATTGTATACTGATAAAATAGTTAAATTAAAAAAAAAAAAACACGTGAAGTAGAAATAGAGCTGGCTACTTAGCTCACTTGGTTAGATCATGGTGCTGGTAATATCAGGGTCAAGAGTTCAGATCCCCTTATTGGCCAGCTGCAAAATAAATAAATAAAATAAAAAGTAAAATATATAATAAAATAAGTAAAATATATAGTATGTTAGGTGTTGAAAATGCAATGGAGAAAAATAAAGCAGGGAAGTGAAAGAGTATATGGGGCCTGTGTCAGGGACAGTCTCACTGAAAAAGTGACATTTGATCAAAGATCTGAAGGAAGGTTGGGGGCAAGCCATGTGGCTATCTGAGGGAAGAATATTTGTGACAGAATAGCAAATGCAAAGGCTCTGCGGCAGAATGATTCCTGGGCAAGAATCAACAAGGATCTTATAGCTAGAGTGCCATGAGGATGGGGGAAGGTAGTAGGAGATGAGGCCAGAGAGTCAGAGGGTGCAGGGCCTGGTTGCCAGCACACAGTGGATACTTAGTGAAGGTTGGCTGAACCAGATTAAATAGGCCCCAAGGGTGAACTCTTCAGGAAGGATCTCCACTGTAACTGGTCTGCCTACTCTTACCCCCCTGCTGCCCAACCAATGCCGTTTTGGTTCAACAGATGACTCCTACTGGGTGCTTAGCCTAGAGCTGGTGCTATGGGACAATAGTTTTTTTACTTTTTGAGCACAACCTATCCATAAGAAATACATTTTAGGCTGGCCAGTTAGCTTGGTTGGTAAGACCAAGGTCATGGGTTATGCTAAAAAAAAAAAAAAGAAATATATTGTAAGTTGGAGCCCAGTACACACATACACCCATTAAAACAAAAGTTTCATGAAATGGTACTTCATGCAACGTACTTTATTTCTTCTTTTCTCTTCTTTTTTTTTGGCAGCTAGCTGGTACAGGTTGAACCCTTGAGAACCCTTGACCTTGATTATCTTTTTTTTTTTTTCTTTTAAAGATGACCAGTAAGGGGATCTTAACCTTTGTGTGTTTTTTTTTTTTTTTTGCCCTTTTTGAGACCGGCCGCACTGCACTCAGCCAGTGAGCGCACCGGCCATCCCTATATAAGATCCAAACCCGCGGCAGGAGCGCTGCTGCGCTCCCAGCGCCGCACTCTCCCTAGTGCGCCTCGGGCTCGGCCTTTAACCTTTGGTGTTGTCAGCACCATGTTCACCCATTGAGCTAACCGGCCATCCCTATATGGGATCTGAACCCATGGCCTTCGTGTTAACAGCACCACACTCCCCTGAGTGAGCCACGGGCCAGCCCCCCCCCCTTTTTTTTTAATGCAAGTTGTGTCACTATTCCCAAGCCCTTTTCAGTGTCTTTGGGATGAGCCCATAATAATAACATCACCCGTTTGGACAACCCTTGGCAGATACAAAACTCCTTCATGCGTATTAGCACCCCACCAACTTGGGTGGTGAAATAGGGATTACAGAAAGAGAAATCGAATTTCTGTGAGACTGAGTTTCCCAGGATGACTTAGTAGGTGGCTGTGCTGAGACTGTGACCAGGGCTCAGAACTCCATGTCCAGGGCTGTGGCCAAAGCTTCCCACCTGAACCTCCTGCTGAGCCCTGGGCATGGAAGGAAGATACAGTCCCTCTGGGGCCAGAGGAGCCCAGGGGAAGGAGGGGGCTAAGAGTGCCAAGCAGAACATCACATCCCATCATATGACCCCCACCAGGAGGGCCGTGTAGCCATCACCCGAGTGGCCAACCTTCTGTTGTGTATGTATGCCAAGGAGACTGTGGGCTTCGGAATGCTCAAGGCCAAGGTATGTATGTGCCTATCCTTCCACAGCCCTGGGCCTGGCCTTCGTGCTCTGTCATTGTTCACTCCCACCCACACCACCTTTCTGAAGTCCTCATATTTGTTCAGTCCTTGTCTGGTGTGGGCTAACTCCCAAGAGCAGGTGGGGGCTGGGGACTGGTTGCTCAATTTGGACTGGAAGTCCACCTGGATTTGGGATCCCTTTAGTGGCAGGCCATGTGTGGGACTGATTTCTTCCCCTACTCTTGCAGGCCCAGGCCTTGGTGCAGTACCTGGAGGAGCCCCTCACCCAAGTAGCAGCATCCTAATGCTCATGGGTGGAAGCTGGGGTCAGAAAAGAAAGATGACCATTTGGAGGGGCAGGGCCTCTGGGAAAACCTTCCTGAACTGTGGGGGGAGGGTGAGACTTTGTTTTTTCCAAGAATAAACTTCAACTATTGTCTTGTGTCTTGACTACTTTTTTGTTTATGTTTTTTTTTTTGTCATTTTCGTGACCGGTAAGGGGATTGCAACCCTTGGCTTGGTGTCGCCCGCACCACGCTCAGCCAGTGAGCACACTGGCCAGTCCTATATAGGATCTGAACCCGCGGCGGGAGCATCGCTGTGCTCCCAGCGCCGCACTCTCCCGAGTGCACCACGGGGCCGGCCCTTGACTACTTTTTTGAATGGGAGGAATCAGGAGATAGTAAGAAACAGGGATTACTAATGATTCCTAGTGTTCTGCAAGGATGGATTTCTACCCACTCCTACACCATGACCTCCCACAACAAAATGTTTTTTGACAGTGGTGCCTCAGCTCCCTTGACCTCTCCAGTAGTGTAATCTTACATAGCCCCTTCCACTCTGAGCAGAATCTTACCCACCTGGTTGGCAAAACATTGGGGGAGTGAGCTCAGAGGAGCAAGGGCCTGGTGGGGGTCATGTTGGACAAAAAATACAGGGCCCTGGGAGTTTAGTGTCCTTCACTCCAGGCTTGGGGGTATGTGCCTTTTCTACTTGGGGTTGGGAGGGTGCCCCCTAACTGCCTAGAAGGGGCCACCCCTTTCCTCTTCTCCCAGGCATTCATATGGTTACACAGACCCTCTCCAGATCTTGAAACCCTTTGCAGACCAGATGCCTTTGCTGTGAGGCCTCAGGTCCTGGGTAGGAAGTAGAAGAAACCCAGACCTTTCAGAGGCCTTCATCTCCACATCCTGCCTCTAAACTCAGACCTCTCACCCCATTTGGCTGTTTCAATCCCAGGTCTCCTCCTACCCAGTGTCCTTAGAACAGGTCTGTATAGGAGCTGTGTAGGGAGCTACCAGTTCCTTTCCCCAGTGCGTAGGAAGGGACCCATCCCAGGGAAGTGTATAGGTTGTAAATCCCAGCTCCACCCAGTGTGAGAAACACTGCCCATCCCAGGCCCTGGGCTGTTAGGGAGGGACGGAAGTTGCTGTGACCAAGATGCAGCTCCCACAGCTCTACTGCAGCAGGATAACTGGCATCCCTTCGCCCCAACAGCCTTTCTTCTGGTGCCCCCAGCGTGTGCCCCACCAGAGGCTCTAAAGGAAAAGCTGGCGGCCAAGTGCATTTATTTTTTAAATTTTTTATTATTTTTATTTATTATTTTTTTAAAAAAAGATGACCGGTAAGGGGATCTTAACCCTTGACTTGGTGTTATCAGCACCACATCCCAAGTGCATTTCTGAGAAGCTATTTCTCATTCACTGGTGGCTGGGTCCACCTCGCTGCAGATCCCAGGAGCCCTCAGCAGGCTCTCTCCGAAGGTCTTGTCCCCATCCTAGCTTTCCCCACTATTACCACCTGGAGCTGGTTCTCCTGCTTGCAGAGCCCAGGCTGAGAGCAGACACCCAACCTGTCTAACCTGTCTGACGTCATCATCTCTCCACCCACTGGGCCCCAGGTCTCCAGCCACCCCGCTCTTCCTGTTCTCAGCTTCCGTCCTCTCAGCTTCCTTACAGCACCCCACCTGAGCCTCCCTAGGCCCTGCCTAGCCTCGAATTGGCCCTCAATCCCTCTGGCTGCAGAAGTCTCCTTACCCCCAATGAGAGGAGGATCTGGGTTTCCTGAGAGCTGAGGGTTGAAGGCATCGTGTCAACGCATAAACTTGTCACCTCTGCACTCGAAGACACTTGTACTCTCCATGCGAAGCCAAAATGGGGAATGGATCCGAGGAAGATTATAACTTTGTCTTCAAGGGTGAGTTGGGGGGTCCATGAAGAGAGAGGAAGCGTGAGAGAGACCCAGAAAGGGATCAATACAGCAAGAGAGGGCCACCTCCTGTTTTTTATCTCTTACTAGGACCCGCCAGGGTTCATCACTCCCTTGGGCTCAGAAAGAAAGCTGCAAGGAGTTGGGGAGGGTCTGGTTACAGGGGCAAAAGTTCTGGAGCTGTGGAGTATGCTCTATTGTTGCGAATAGTGATGTCGATCACTCCTTAAGTGCTGAGAGTTAGGCTCGTCTGCCTGGTTCTAATAGAAGCCCAAATCCCTGGGAATAGTCAGTTACTGCAGCACAAGAGTCAGAGGTTAGACTTCAGAAAGGACTTCCCTCCTGAGAAGATGGGAAAACAAGCAGATTTAAGAGGAAGAAAGTCATCTTTCTGGGTGGGTTTATAGGAAAGGGGAGAAAGGAGAGACCTCTCCCATTACAGTGCTGGGTAATAAATATACAGGGAAGACAAAGGGGAGATGTAATGAATTTGCAGCAGGGTCTGATAGAATCCAGAGGACTTCCAGAGGACTCCCAGATCTGTGGCCTTGTCCGCTTGTCCCCTGGCCGACTCCTTGGATCTCGATGCCAGGCATTGGGTTCAACTTGGCTGTCCCTAAAAGTGTGCATGTATCTTTCCTACTTCTTTATCTCAGCCCCTGTGTTTGGTCCCTCTGTTGTTCCCCAAACCCACCTTCACAGCTCCTTCAGGGCAGGGTGGACTGGTAGAGCTATGATTCTCTCTCCAAACACGCCACCCTACTGCCTCTCCCAGACTCAGCCCTGCCCTCACTGGAGCTGGAACTCTCACTTGAGCCCCCGCCCTCAAGCTGAGGAACATGTACTCCCAGCATCTTTCCCAGGAAAGAGCTAGTCATAGGTTGGAGCAATAATAGTACTAGTAGTTATCATTTATTGAACCTTTACTATGTGAAAGGAAGCGGGAGGAAACAGGATTGGGTAGAGGGAGACATCAAACTGCAACCCAGACTCAACAAAGCCTGGGCCAAGTGTGGGAAGCTCTGTGATAGCCTCACCTTGCTTGGGCACTGGATGTATGCAGACTCCCAGCGAGGCTGCTGTCTGCCCCACAGGCAGCCGCTGAAGGATCTGAGAGCTGGAGGCTGTCTGCTGACTGCACTCTCTGCAGCTGGGGATCCTTCACTAAAGGTGGATCTGGGAAGCACATCTCTGTGTTTACCATGCTTGATGTGTTGTCTTGGGCAAGTCATTTCACCTCCCAAGTGTCTTAATTCCTTGTACATGAAATTGGGAACAATAATAATGATACTTTCCTCATGGCATTGTTGTAATAATTTTTCTTTTTTGGTTGCTGGCTGGTATAGGGATTGAACTCTGGACCTTGATGTTATCAGCACCACACTAATCAATTGAGCTAACCAGTCAGCCCCTGTTGTGAGGAATAAATGAGTTAATAAGCATAAAGCTTTTTGTCCCTGGCACACAGTAAGCACTCAATAAATGTTAACCATTAGTATCTCCATTTTACAGATGATGAAACTGAGGCTTAGAGACAGAGTAAGTAGCTTACAAAAGGTCAAAAAGCCAGTAATACTCAAACCTAAATCTGTCTGACCTCAATGCCATTATCCTGAGCAAGTTTGAGGCCTGAAGATAGGGCTGGAAACCCACCCACTGGGAGGGATGAGATGGGTATGAGATTCCCAGTAGGGAATGTCAGAAACACACAGACTTGCACATATTTACATCCTCTTACCCACACATACCCAACATGCTTCCAGCTCTTTCCTGCCTTACCCAAATAAGGAATTTTTTTTTTTTCCTTTTTGTCTTTTTTTCGTGACCGGCAACGGATCGCAACCCTCAGTGTTGCGCCCGTACCGGACCGGGACCGGCAACGGGATCGCAACCCTCGGTGTCGCGCCCGCACCTCGCTCAGCCAGTGAGCCGCCGGTCTGTATGTGGGATCCGAACCCTCCGGCGGGAGCGCTGCCGCGCTTCCCAAGCGGCGCACTTATCCAGTGCGCCACCGGGCCGGCCCTGAAATAAGGAATTTTTAAAGTTAGAAAGGACCTTTACAGGGCTGGCCCGTGGCTCACTTGGGAGAGTGTGGTGCTGATAACACCAAGGCCCCGGGTTCGGATCCCATATAGGGATGGCCGGTTTGCTCACTTGGAGAGTGTGGTGCTGACAACACCAAGTCAAGGGTTAAGATCCCCTTACCGGTCATCTTTTTAAAAAAAAAAAAAAAAAAAAAGAAAAAGAAAGAAAGAAAGTACCTTTACAGATTGTACCAACAGGGAAACTGAGACCCGGAAAAGGCGAGCCACTTGTTCAAGTTCACACAGCTAGTCAGGCTGAGCAGGGATCAGAGCCTAAAATATGTGGTTTACAGTCCTTGGGTGTGGGTTGTACTTACACCAGCCCCTCCCCACTCTCTCCCAACCCCCAGCTCACCCACAGGCCCTGGCCCTAAATGCTGCCTACTAGCCTAAAGAGCCTTTGTGGTTCCTCTGGTAGATCCTTCTTCCTGAAAACCCAAATGCAAAAAGCACTGGCCTGCCAACAACAATCATACCATAACAGTATTGTACACTTAGTATAACCTAGACAATATCTCATTTACTTCTCTCTTTTTTTTTTTTGTCTTTTTCATGACTGGTAAGGGGAGCGCAACCCTTGGGGTGGTGTCGCCCGCACCGCGCTCAGCCAGTGAGCGCACCGGCCATTCCTATATAGGATCCGAACCCGCAGCGGGAGCGTCGCTGCGCTCCCAGGGCCGCACTCTCCCAAGTGCACCACGGGGTCAGCCCTCGTTTACTTCTTACAACAACCCACAGGTAGATACTTTTGTTAGTCACATTTTTCATATGAAAAAGACTCAGAGAGATTCAATAACTTGCTGAAGGACATAGAGTTGATCCAACACCCAGCCCCATACTCTTAACCATGCTGGACTGTCCCTCCTCAGGGACAAATGGATCCTAACTTTTTATACACACACGGGCACACGTACCTCCATGTTTTCCTTTTACCCAAAGATAGTGTCACCAGCTAAACTTTCTCCTTACCCACACTTCCATTCACACCTGTTCCCTGAGCAAATACACACTCCAAACCTCCCACTTGTCCTCCCAGCTCATATACATAGAGGCATGCACAATGTTCTCATACTCCCTAGTCCAGAAATGTGCACCCCCAGACATCCAGCCATCCCTGTCCATATTCATACCCCCCAGCAACCTCTCCACACAACACCCATAAAGAGCCCACAGATGTCGCTCCATCGTCAGAAACACAGGCTGACTTTGCAACCATGTCTCAATAGACCAGCCCTAAAACCCTTAAAGCCCCTTTTTTAGTTTTAAACTCTTGGCCTTTCTGCCCACCAGGACAGATGCATTATGCAGAGTTAAAGACCCCAGTTTCTGCCAGGAGACCCAGCTCCCTCCTCTGTTTCCTGAACTCTGTTCCCCCTTCTGATGGACAGACCCTCCAACTCAGGTGGGCTTGGGGCCACTCTGCCCTGTGTTCAAACCTTATCTCTCCACTCCTTCAGTGGTGCTGATCGGCGAGTCAGGCGTGGGGAAGACCAATCTGCTATCTCGGTTCACACGCAATGAGTTCAGCCATGACAGCCGCACCACCATTGGGGTTGAGTTCTCCACCCGCACTGTGATGCTGGGCACTGCTGCTGTCAAGGCTCAGATCTGGGACACGGCTGGCCTGGAGCGGTACCGAGCCATCACCTCAGCGTGAGCCCGGGCCTGGGGGGTTGCTGGGTTGTGGGAGTCCTGGGGAAGTCAGGGAACACCTCTGGAGGAGAAGTGGAGGAGAGGGGCAAGGGGACTCAGCTTCCCAGGGGGGACCGTAGGAGACACAGTGCTGTGAGCAGCAAACAGCCTGAGACTGGATATAGTGATACTGACTAGGACTAAAAACAAGAATCATTGCCACTACTTACTAAGCCTTTGCTGTATGCCCAGGAAGGTACAAGGCACTTTACATTTGGCATTTTATGTAACCCTTAAAGTACCAAAAGAGTAAAGTGCTATAATTAATCCCTGTTTAAATACAAGTAAGGTGAAATCAGGGTGGAGCTGGAATGGGGGGCAGGCTGTGTGGATCGAGAGCGCCCCCTCACTTCGGCAGAGTGTTCTGCACTTGGCAACCTTCATCCAACCACAGCCAAGGGCTGGACCTGGCATCTGCATTTTATGAAGACTCAGAAGACACACAGAAAGTTGAGCCTCCTGACGCCACGCTCAAATTATCTTCTAGTCTATGTCAGGCCCAAGTGCGTGAAAGGTGGTCTGCGTGTGTGCGTGGGGTGGGGATAGCACCTGCCAGGGGTCAGCAAGCAGGAGTCGGGGCTTCCGTTACACACACTCATGAGGTTCATACACACTCATCACTTAGTCACTTGATCTCTTATGAGCCTCAGTTGACTCATCAATAAATTGGGACTAATTAAACATCATCTAATTAGGAGACCTGGCTCCTCATCCATCCACAAGAGGAAGGCTGGATGCTTACAAAGAAGGCTTAGATGGTCAGGCCAGGGACTGCGGCAAGGGATAGGCATTTGGCTAGTCCTAGAAGGACGGCCACAAGAGAAAGGAGGACACTGTGGGTTGAGGAGCCATGTGAGGAATATCTCAGAGGTGGGGCATCCAGGAGGCAGACTTGGCTAGAGCCCAGATGTGTGTTGGTGGATAGTAGGGGCTAAAATCGAGGGCCAGCCCGTGACTCACTCGGGAGAGTGTGGTGCTGATAACACCAAGACCACGGGTTTGGATCTCTATATAGAGATGGCCGGTTAGCTCACTTGGGAGAGCGTGGGGTTGACAGCACCAAGTCAAGGGTTAAGATCCCCTTACTGGTCATCTTTTAAAAAAAAAAAAAAGTAGGGGCTAAAATCAGGACATAGGAACTGAGGAAGCAGAGGGGCAATGAGGGTGCCAGTGGAGGTTTTAGAGCAGGGAGGTGAAGCTTTGGAGGCTCTTGAGACCACCGTCCTTGGCCTGTCGGGCTTTGGGTCCCTGGACCCCAGTTTCCATATTTCCCAATCTCTGATCTAGCATGTTTTGGCTTGATGGCTTCACTCTGAGGCTAGGTCCAATGCCCCTGATTTTGTCTCTGTCCATTCCTCCCACCCCTGCCCAGGTACTACCGTGGTGCAGTGGGGGCCCTCCTGGTGTTTGACCTAACCAAGCACCAGACCTATGCCGTGGTGGAGCGCTGGCTGAAGGAGCTCTATGACCATGCTGAGGCCACTATCGTCGTCATGCTTGTAGGTAACAAGAGTGACCTCAGCCAGGCCCGGGAGGTGCCCACTGAAGAGGCCCGCATGTTTGCTGGTAAGAGCCCACCACCACCCAGACTGACGCCTCCAAGCTTTTGCACACCCTCCCAGCTTCAGCCTCCCTAGTGCATACTCCCCATGGTAGGGGCCCCCTCCTGGACTTCCTCTATATGGTCCTCTACCCCTATCCCCTCTTCATCAAGCTCTCCGAGCCCTTCTTCTTTAGGACCCTGTGTCCCCCATTATGTCTCACCAGCTTGCCCTGAGATTGTCTTCATTGGCTATTCTTCATAGTTAATTTTAAGACATTTCCTGCAATGCTCAAAGATTCTAAGTGTAGGGTGTGGGCTCCCCTTGACCTCCAGTCACACTTTCCCCAGGAGTTTTCTGGGTTTCAAAGCAGTGCAATATGGTGGCTAAGGTGAGGGTGCAGGTTCTGGAGTCCCATGGCCCAGCTTCCCATCTCCTCTTGGCCAGTTACTAGATGTGGGACATGGAGGAATTTCCTTATTCATTCTCTCTGTGTTTCTGGGTCTCAGTTTCCTAACTGAACCTACCTCATAGGTTGTTTTAAGGATTAAATGAGATACTACATAGCAAATGTACATAGTAAACATTAAGTAAATATTATTTTTGCTTTTCACCCCCACAATTAATGGTGTGTTTTCCCTCCTGGCAGAAAACAATGGGCTACTATTCCTGGAGACTTCAGCCCTGGACTCCACCAACGTTGAGCTAGCCTTTGAGACTGTCCTCAAAGGTTAGAGCCTGCCTCCATTAGGCACCCCTATTTCATCCCTGTGGCTTCTGTGGGCAGCAGCTGGAATGCAGACACCAGCCCTTGCCCCGGCTGATTCCTCAGCCCCTCTGTGGGCCCCCGGCCTCCTAAGAGCACTACTGCCTAGCTCCCTCAGTCCCTTCCCAGGGTCCCCCACTCAGCCTGGAGCTTAGGGAAGAAATCAGAAGGCCACACTTCCCAGTGGGCTGTCTTGGTTTCTTCTCTACTCAGGGAAGTAGAAGGGACTTAGGTGTCCAAATTCCACTTCTCCACTTTCTTCCAGCAAAATGTCCTGCAAGCGTAGCGACTCCCAGTGCTCAAAGGGGCATGCAGTGTGTGTGTGTGTGTGTGTGTGTGTGTAGGGAAGCTCTAAATCTTCTGGTCTGACCACTGCCCTCTGTCCTCTCAGAGATCTTTGCGAAGGTGTCCAAGCAGAGGCAGAACAGCACCCGGACCAATGCCATCACCCTGGGCAGTGGCCAGGCTGGGCAGGAGCCTGGCACTGGGGAGAAGAGGGCCTGTTGTATCAGCCTCTAACCTTGGCCAGTGCCTTCCCCACCCCCACTGGATTTCTGGTGCCCCCCCCCATCTCCACCCCAACTCCAGGACCTTTTCCCACCCTTTGGTTCCAGATGTCAAGAGTGTTCGGTTCCCTGTTCACAGCTCTGATCCTTAAGGTCTTCATGCCCCACCACACATATCTGTATTACCTGTGCACCCACTCACAGACTTTATTTGAGGCCCCTCAAATAAAGCTGTGTTTTGTATCAATGCCTGGCCATCCTGCTGCCTCTCCTCATCTGTGCTTCCCTTTCAATTTTGGCCCCTCTTCTGAGTCCCTGATCCCCTTCCCCTCCCCCTTCCTCTGTCCTCCCCACCATACCCACTGCCACCTAGGGCCAGCTGCCTCTAGAGTCCTGTGGCCTGGGGACATTGCCAAGGGGGCGGGAGGTGCCCACCCTTCCCTCTGCCAACCCCCAGGGCAGGTGGAGAAGGGAGAACAGCGTGGAGGGGAGGGAGTATCTGGAAGGCGAGACAAAGAAAACCATCAGTGGGCACCATCTGGTGCCCAGGGCCCTAGTGCCAAGAACTGAGGTCACTCCAATGCCAGGGGTGAGGGGAGGAGGCAGGGGGAGATGCAAGGAAGAAGGGAGAGTCAGTGGGAGTCCCCTGTATGTGTGTGCTGGGAAAGGGGTTTTTAAGCCTGGTAGGTAGAAGGTCCAAGTCCTCCACCCAGTTTTCTTCTTGACTCCAAAGAAGAGGAATGGATTGAATCTGGTGGGGCAAGTGTAGAGGGTCTCTGTCTCAGCTATCTACCCCTTCTCCATGGAGCCTTTCCCTGTTCTGCAAGGTAGGGCAAAAGGAGGTCTGACTGTACCTCCAAGAAAAAGAAGGGAGTAAATGGGAAAAAAGGACAGGGGATTGGAGACTCAAGTAGGGAGTAGTGTGGAAAAGAGAAAGGGAACCCAAGGGTAGCAGGGAACTCTGGAAACATCTATTTCCCACAAGGGGTGTAGGGGCACCCAGAGTTACACTAGAGAAAACCCCAAGCTACAATCCCCATGATGGTACAGACTTGTATGCAGATAAAGAAGACAAAGCCTTAAGTAATAATACTTTTAATAAAATTAAGTTCTTAATAGCACATTTAATACATTAACCCTCCCCCTTCTTGGTTTCTCTGCATTTTGTGCAACATCACTTTGACTTGATTATTCATGGGTCTGTTTTATTTCCCGCCTTTACTTTGCTTTTGAAATCTTCTTCCTTGGTGGATTTGTATGTCTTCACTAGATGCCTCAAATTAAGTCTGACCACAATCCTACTCTACTTTCTACAGTGGAGAGACCATCCCCCCTGTCCCAGGGCTGTCTCCACCCACCCACCCTACCCCACCCACACCCTTGAGTGGGGAAGGGGAAGCCCTCCCCACCCCAGACGCTACCATCCCAAACTAGCTGGGTTTCTAGGACAAAAAGAGCAGGGGGGAAATCTGTCCCTAGGTGGGGCGAGAAGAGTAAATTGGGGAGAGGGAGATGTGTTTGGGGTCTAGGGCCAGGGAGGGGCATGGCAGAGTCATTGGTGTTATGGAGCAGGCTCCTCTTGCCAAAAGGAGAGCCAAGGGGCCTCCCCACCCCCTTGGATAGGAGGGAAGGGCCCAATCTGATTGCAAGCTGGGGTTGGTAGAAGGCGAGTGCTTAAAAAATGTGGATTTCTCACATGCAGAATCCAGGCTCCTCAATTTTCTGTGGGGAGGGTGATGTGCCCACAGGCCAGGGCACAAGTGGATGACCTCAACCTGAACACTTAGAGTTGGACTGGAGCAGAGAAGGTTAGGGTTGGGGTCACCCAAGATCCCTGTGCCATTCCCCTGTCTCTGTACTCTTGGGAGCCCCATTCTCCCAGGCCTTCAAGAATAGTGTCTCCACTCCACCCCACTGGGTAGGAAGTCCTTCTTGGAATTTATGAGATAATAAAGCACTTTGCAAACTGTAAAGCACCATATAGCTTTAAAGAACAATTACTGAGATTGTACTCACACTGCCGTCATGGAAGTCGAAAGTTAAGGGAATGTTGGATGACAACAGGGACAGGAGACAGATCCCTTCAATGCTCTTGAAGCTCTAGAAAGGTGAGAAGTGTATGTATGTGTCTGTGGAATGACTTACCAAGGCTCTTAAATCCATCTGTGGTGAAGTGGATTGAGGTTACATTCAAGAAGGACTTCCTCAGTGAGGCCTGGGAGAAGCTGCCTTAGGAGGGTTTGAGCTGAGCAGTCTGCATGCTCCCTGAGAGCTCCAGGAGAAAATATATCCCTTTGGAGGGAGTAAGGGCTGCCCAACAGAGACAGAGGGATGGCGAGGCCCGCAGGTGAAGGTGCCCAGCCCGCCATCTGGTTGAGAAGATCAGTGCACCTTTTCAAAGATCCCTCATCTATTTGTCCTACAATTTAAAAATCCAAGGATTCTCAGAATCAACCCCAGCAGACTGGAAGCTCCCAATCTTGACTAGCAACCTGCTTCAACCCTGATATCTGAAGATGGGGCAACTCAGGGGGACTCAGCCACTTCCCTCCACTACTTTTCTTTTCGTTACTTTTATACATTCTACTGGACCCAGGGGCCCTCAATGCTACTAAACTTTAAGCTATCTGAATATCATCTACTAAGTAACTAGTAATTCTTTCTTTCTCTAGGATTATATGAAATAAATTTGAATTATTATTATTAATAATTATTATTTTGTAGTATTCTTTTCTTTTAAACCCCTCGGTTTCTCTTTTTTTCTCTCTTGTTTTTTGGTTAAAAAAAAATCTATTTTTCTTAAATCTCACACTTCTGAAGGTTCCCATAGGCCTGTTAGGCCTCAGTTCTGGATTTCCCCTCCTCACTTGCCCATGAGACAGGGCAGAGGAAGGCGGGGGACACCCCAGGATCCTCGTCCTTAGTTCTACTGCTTCTTCCTTTCTCGTTAATCCCTTTCTTTGTTTGGCTCTGCCGGCTCCCCTGAGGGGGAGGGGAAAGGGGAGGGGGAGCCCACGGAGTGAAATCCAATCTACCTGCAGGGCCCCAGAAGGAACAAGGTTCCTTCAGCCCCTCTCTCCACCATCCATCCCAGGATGCTCCCCCAAGAAAAGCAAATGACATTCCTCCCCAAAAAAAAGTGGGGGAAAAAAGGAACGTAAACCCGAACATATATTAAAAACACTTTTTTTTAAGATTTAACTCTGAATACAAATGTACTTTTTTTCTTCTCTCCCTACATATATTCTAAACCTTCTAAAGTTTTTTTATTTTTTTAAGGATCACTTTATCATAAAATAAAATATCCTTTTCATATAATAAATTACCTAATAAAAAGTCTTTTTTTTTCATATTAGCCCAGGTTCTTTGCTACATTTATACGGTAATAAACGCCTTTATTAAAATAGAATATTAAATTATAAAGAACTGCTTTTTTTTTTTTTTTTTTGCTATTTTCGTTTTCTCTTCTCTGTGTTGGTCGCCTGTCTTGTTCCCTCTCATGCTCTCTCTTTCTCTCCTCTATTTTGTCTCTCACTATGTGTGTTTTGCGTTTGTTTCTAGGTTTGGCTCAAATGGTAAGGGTGGGATTCAATTTGCTGAGCCCCCTAGTGTAACAGTCTTCTGCCTTTGTGGGTAAGGAGTGGAGAGGGGGAGGGGGATCGACAGACAGACATCCCTTTTTCCCACCCCCCCTCCCCACCCGCCCCCCGGGAGACCGAGGGGGCCCATTTGGTTTGGTTCTATTGTACAGACATCTCAGGATGGCTCATATTGGCGGGAAGGAGGGAAGTTGTCACAAGCCAGTTTTCTAGGCTGTGAGCTCCTTCCTCTCCCCTCCCTGGCTGGTGGACTGGAGGGGAAGGCTGAGGAGAGGTGAGTAAATTCACAACAGGAGGAAGGAGAGGAGGAAACCCCCTCTGCATCTCCATTTGGTTCTATTGTACAGACATCTCAGGATGGCTCATATTGGCGGGAAGGAGGGAAGTTGTCACAAGCCAGTTTTCTAGGCTGTGAGCTCCTTCCTCTCCCCTCCCTGGCTGGTGGACTGGAGGGGAAGGCTGAGGAGAGGTGAGTAAATTCACAACAGGAGGAAGGAGAGGAGGAAACCCCCTCTGCATCTCCATCCCTGCACCCTCTCTTCATCCAGGAAGAATGGGACTCCTGAGCTTTAAGTGCTCAGAGATCACTCAGAACAGTCCCACCCCATTATATACAAGGATCTCCTGGTAACCTCTGGGACTCCCATCCCCCATCCTCTCCTGGCCCGGCCAGCGGAACCAGGAGTGTGGGAGGCCGGTGGCAGTCCCAAGTGAGGAGTAGGGAAGCTGCAAAGGGGGTGCAAGGCCTGTAACAATACGTGATTCTGGGAACAGGCCCTGCTGCACCCCAATCCTGCTTTGCCCTGGGCTAACCCTTCTCTGAAGACCTGGCCTCTCTCCTCAACCACAATGGATGGGACAGAGACTTCATGATTTATACGCTAATTAAGGATCCAATAAAGGTTCAGATCAGGTCCAAAGAGGGGTGCAGGGAGTGGGACACTACAGGGGAGGAGCAGCCTTTTCCTCCATCAGTCTCTCCTGCCTCAGGCCCCTTCCTGCTCCTTGAAATAGCAGACACACTACCCTGGCTCCCCCCTTCCCACAACCAGAAAATCCATTCCAAGAACTGCTCCCTAAATGTAATGCCCATAGGTGATGAAGGTGGGGATTTGACCCTTTATGTACCCCAGAATTAGTCCCCTCCTCAAACTTTCACTGAGAATGGGGATACATTCCATCAAGAATTTGAGATGTTTCTTTGGAGGAGTGGGGGAGAGGACCTCCAGATGCCTACAGAAGAATTGTGGGAGGGCACCAGAATGTTCTTCCCCCGACTTCTCCCCAAGGGGATGGTGTCTCCAAAGCTGGGCTAGAAGGGGCAGGAGGGAGGAGGAAGAAAAGAAAGACAAAGAGAAGGAGCAAAACAAGGCCAGGAGTGACAGCCACCAAGGGGGTAAGCAAAGGAAAGAGCTAGAGGAAAAGGAAAGACAAAGAAGCAAGAACCCAAAGGAAGGAAAGATGGGGAGAAGAGTGAAGGGAAAAGTTGGAGGGGACAGAGAGGAGCACCCCTCTCCAGATTCTCCTAGCCCAGCTTTGTGAGAACAGATTAATTCTGAGCCCTTTATGGATTGACATACTCCTCCCCCTCCCACCCCCCAGAAGATCTATGCAGACAGGGCCCAACTCCCCAAACAGGATATGGGAGTGGGGTGCTAAAGGGTTATGTTAGGAGGTCGGAGGTCAGGACCAGAGGGCTGGGGGGTTGGAAAGAGCACCTCTAGATACAGGTGGTATTTCTCCCTCTCCCTTTTGTCCACCCCCCCTACAGAGGAAGTGACACACAGTGGGGAGGTGGGCAGAGGGGATCAGGATGGCTTAGTGGCCACCTTTAGCAAAACAAAAGTTTCTCTTAGCTGCTTCTGGATTTAAGGGTGTGATGAGGTATCAGAGTTGTAACTCTAGTAAAATTTTCGGTCTGGCCTCCTCCTAATCTTTCCAGGACAGGGTGACCAGAGGCTCTGAAAGTGGCCCACCCACCAGCCACCACCGCCCCCCCCCACCCGTGAGCGAGTATCTCCAAGCACCTTGCCCATCAAATCACTGATTTCCAAACGGCCCTAGTGGCAAACAGGTCCAGGGCAGGCCCCTGAGGAGTGGGCCCAGGAGGCATGGGCATGCGGCTTAGGAGAATATTCGGATGGCTTGCGTTGCTGTAATGTGGCAGACGGGACACTCCGGGTCCGTCCTCTCGCAGATGCGTACTGCACACTCCATGCAGAACAGGTTGTGTCCGCAGGGCACAAGAGCAGCAGTCACTTCGCTCTCAAAGCACACCATGCAATCCCTCCCGCCGCCGGGGCTCCGCAGACCGCCCCCGCCAAGTTTAGAGAAGCCCTGGAGCGGCTCTCCCGGCGGTCGTCTGGGAAGTCCAGCCAGCTCAGGCCCAGCAGAGGTGGCAGGAGAGCGGTGCGCGCCGGGAGGCCCAGCCCGAGCCTTGGCGGAAGAGGAGGAGGAGGAGGCGGAGGAGAAGAGCACCGAGGTGGGCGTGGCGTTCTCCTGGCCCGCCCACAGGGGGGGGCTAGTCTCAGCCACTCCGTAGTACACGTCCTGCTTGCCCACGCCATAGCCTGGAAACAGGTAACCGCCATAGCCGAAGTCCCCTCCCTGCTCGCCCAGGCGCGGGGCCTCAAAGCCAGAGTCCACTCCGCACTCGCCGATGCAGCCCAGGCTGTTTTGCCGGAAGGTAGAGAGGGGCTTGCAGCCGGGCGGGTGCACCCGCCAGGCATCCGAATAGCGGCTATCAAGTGCAGCGGCGTCGGGGCTCCCCGCCAGGAAGTCGTTTTCATTATTGTATTCGAGGATCTTGCCTGTGCGCACGGCGATGTGTGTCTCGATCTCCTCGCGCGCGCGTTCCACGTTGCCCGGGGCACCCGTGATCTCGAAAACTGGGTCGCGGTCACGACTTGGTGTGATAATGTACGTGTTGGTCTGCTGCTGGATGCGCTTGATGGTTGCCCCTTTTGGGCCCACCACCAGCCCCACCACCCGGTAGGGCACCCGCACACGGATGGTCACCTGACCTGGCAGAGCAGGGGCCACACCAAAGGCAGCGCCTGACTTGTTGCGGGAGGCGCGGATCATGGAGAAGTGCTCGGCTGCTGAAATGATTTCCCGCCGGGCTGTGGCCACGTCCTCCCGCCGCCCTGTCACCATGAATACCGGCTCCTCGCCCCGCACAGGCGTCTTGATGTAGGTGTTGGTCTTGGCCCTCAGAGCCTTAATTTTGCATCCTGAGATAGGGTGGGGAAGCGGAGAGAGAAAGAAACTCACAGGGCAAGATTTGTATTGGGACCAATAAGCTCCTGACCCTTACCCAGATACCCAGCCTCCCAGAAACCCTTTAGTCTACCCTTTGAAAATCCCCCTCCCCACAACCACACACAGTCCACCCTGACTTGAAAAATCCACTCATCGGATCTCAGATCTCCCTATCTCTATTAACCACAGATTTCAAAATGTTTTGACTTTCCCTAGCATTCCACTCAGGACCCTCTGAATTCAGTAACTCCTAGAAACCCCTAAATAATCACTGACCCTCCAGACAAGCTGCTAACCTCGTCTACTCACTAACTTCTTCCCAAACATTTGCTGTTCCCTCAATTTCTCTACTGATTCCTGGCTAGTCACAAATTTCCACATCACTTAATTGCCACCCCCCATCTGTCACTGAACCTGTTTTTTCCACAGTACCCCAAGGTGCTTAGTAACCCCACAATCTACTCCTCATTTGACCTCCATTCATTAAAAGTGTCTTCCAGTCTACTCAGAAACCACTAACCTCCATCTGCTCTGTGACCCCACCTCCCACGCCATCCACCCACTAGTCTCTCTTGGTTGGGTCCTAAATTCCTAAGGCCTTTGCAGCAACTAGTGGAGTGTGGAAGATGGAAGGGTCTGAGGATCAGAATCTCACAGGGGAAAGAAGTACGAAGATAAAGAAAATCACACGTGAGGGGGCAGCACCCAACCTCATATCGCTCCTGTCCTCCTGTCCCCGTCCCTTGGGGGCAGGAGAGCTGAGATGGGTTGGGGGTGAGTGGGGTGAGGGAGAGCTTATTCTGGACTTATATTCCTGCTTTGAAGTAGGAGTGAGTTAAAGCTGGGAGACTGGGGAGAGAGGCAGGAAGAGAAAGAAGAAAAGTGAGACAAAGAGACAAAGAGGAAGGAGAGAGAAAAGTGAGGGAGGCTGGGATGGCCACATCATCTCTAAATGCTGCAGATCTCGATGGCTCACTGGACAGGCCCTTCTCCTCCTTTCCCACTTTCCCCCTCCCTGCCCCTAGCTTCACACAGAGCCTCAGAGACTCAGACTCACACGTTTTCACGAAGCACACATGTCACATGTGTGTGAGTTTGCACACATGTACTTAAGAGCCTCGATGCACTGTGTGCCTTTATCTAAGCAATACTTGTGGGGTGAGCCTAACATACACTTTCATACACCTCTTCACATACACACAGAGTCCCTGTGTTTCAGCCGTTCATATATCCCACTCTTTCATCCCATCGTCCCCAGCACAAAAACAGCACATTCCTATACACACCCACAACTTCTGCCCCCATTCACATACAGACTCGTGCTCACACCCCTCTCCAGGCACAACTCACTCTTCCCTTTCTCACTCCCCCACTGCACTACCTATCCAAAACCAAGTGGTCCTACTTTGCTGACTGTGCCCCAACTCTCCAACCATAGGCCTAAAGGGAGCTCATTTTCTCCTCCTTTCTCCACTCTGGATGGCTTCTACAACCCTAGCAGATTTGGGGGTGGGGGATAGAGTGGGTTGGGAGCAGCTCTCCTCACCTTTAAGAGACCTCAGGAAAGAGAATTTGCTCCTCCCCCTTTGTCCTCAGACCTCTTGGCAGTTAGTAAGTCCTACCTGTTGTCAAGCCCACATCCTTGCTGCTTTAATGTCAGTAAATGATTGTTCTATTTGTGAGGCATGGAGGGTTGAGGAACAGTGAAATCCCCTCTCTACCACTCCTACTCACATATCCTCTAATGGGCACCAGCGTTCTGGTTTTAAGTTTGGGGTCCATAAACTTAAGTGAGAGCTAGGTATTTGGGGGGGTTGGGGTGAGGACAGGCGAGGGCAGAATAGTAAGGAGAAAAGCTAGAGGTCTGGAGGTGCAGAACTGGTGAGGGACCCCATCCTGGGTTCTGCAACCCTGAAGATGAGTCTTTTGAAAGGAAGACCCACTAGGCTTCACCTTCCTAGAGGTCAAATAGGGGAGCACTAACCCTGCACAGCAGGAGGAGGGAGGTTAGACAAGAGAGAGGACTTTCATATGCTTAAGGAATAAAGGGGAGACTTATCTTCTCCGAATAGGAGAAATCCCCCTACTTTTATGAAGGACAGGGCCATCTGATGCGGAGGCAGAAGAGGAAAGAATGACTCCATCAAATTCCAGGGCCTCCCAAGATCACCCCTACACCCAAGAAAAGATATCAGTGTCCCCACCCAATTCCAGGACTCTGGATCCCCAGTTTCTGATAACAAGAGGAAATCCAACTTTCTAAATCAGAAATCTCAAGGGATGGAGTGCCCCAGGGGGACGAGTGCAGGGGAGTGGCATCTTCCCCTCCTCCATTCTGGGTCTCCCTGTGAAATCTCCGTAACCCCCAGCACTCCCGGTGGATGAGATGGGATGTAGAGTAGGGGCTCTCCTGGGCCGCCTCCCCTTTTCCTTTGCCAGGAACCGACCTCCTCCCTCACTCTCAGCCGGAATGCAGCTCCTCTATTGTTCCCCACTGTGGGACAGCTCCTCCCCCGCTCCTCCCCCACCCCACACCCCCCCAGCCCCTTTGCAATTTCTAAATCCTGCTTCCCCCACTGCGCTTTGGGAAGCCGAGAGAGGAGTGTCCCTAAGATCTCTGTCTGCTCAATTTGGACCCTCACCAATACTCCCACCCACTCACCCAGGGATGCTGGAGCCCAGGAGGGTGTGGTATCAGACACATACTACACTGGATTAATTCTATACCCCCTCCCAACACACCCAGACCACGCCCTTTAACAAATTTCCAGGTGAAGGTTTCCTACCCCCCAGCAGGCCCCTCCTGCCTGACCCTACTCTCTCACTACCAGACACCCCTCTCCAGGCCTCTGGCCCCAGGCCGTGGCCAGCCCAGAACAAAAGCTAGAGAGGAAGGAGAGGTCCATGCCAGGACGTAGCACTTCCTTGGAGACACCCCTTCCAAAACCTCGTAGACCATCCAACTTCGGTGTGTGGGGAACCACAGGAGCCCCCCTCCCAGCAGCCCCTCTCATCACCTCTCCCCTAGGCTGGGACCCTCCCCTGAGCCACACCCCCTTCCATTCCTACACTCAGCCCAACAAAGAGACAGATACTGTCTGGCTTCCCCAGCCACGTCTCCCCCAAAGTCTGTAACTCAGGCGGCTGGGGGTCCCAGGGGCGCCCCTCCCCAATCTAGGAGCAGATACCGGAGTAGGGGCCTCTGAGTAACTCTTTGCAGATTCCGTCAGTTTTTCTGGCTAGGAGTGGACACCCCCTCCGGACAGCCTCCCTGGATTGGGAGACCGATCCCCCTCCCCTTTCCCTCTCCCTGAACGAGGATATTTCTTTGTCTAAGGGCAGAGCCCAGGGGGAGGAAGGATCTGGAGAACCGTCCCGACTAGGGGTAGCAGGGAACTTTGTGGCGCTTGGAAATCAGGGTAGGGGGCGGGTCCCCCTTTGTGGAGAGGGGACAGAGCCGTAGGCGGGCAAGGAGGGAAGAAATGAACTTTCTGCGCTGGGGACGGCGTGCCCCCCACTCCAGTCCCTCTCTGTAGTCCCGGCGCCCGCTTACCTTGCCTGCCCACGATCTCGGCCACGTGCTCGGAGGTGGGCACGGGTACACACTCCGTGGTGTTGCTGCTGCCCTTCAGGCGCAGCTCGGCCTCTTTGTAGAGAGCGCAGAGCTTGGCGTCGCTCGCCCCTTTGGGGGCGGTGGGGGGCTGGGGCGTCTGCGCCGCGGGGGCCGCCGTCGGGGCGGCCGGGGGCGCCGCGGGCGGCGGCGGAGGGGCCGGCTGCGGGGG